GGGAGTGTGAGGGGTGAGAGGGGGGGGCAAAATATTTGCAGATATTGTTGTGGTATGTACGTCTCTTAAACTGCCTACCATGATGCAGACACGGGTGTGCAGATAGATAGATAGATAGATAGATAGATAGATAGATAGATAGATAGATAGATAGATAGATAGAAAATGAACAGAGTAGGATAGATAGATAGATAGATAGATAGATAGATAGATAGATAGATAGATAGATAGATAGATATGCACAAGCTACGAGAGATTGATGGATATGTACAGGTTAATAGATAGATAGATAGATAGATAGATAGATAGATAGATAGATAGATAGATAGGTAGATAGATAGATAGATAGATAAAGAAAGAAAGAAAGAAAGAAAGAAAGAAAGAGATAGAAAGTATTCAGAATGGGATTGATTGAGAGATATATATGGAGAATGAGGTAGATAGATAATATTCAATGTGAGATATTATGTGTATGTGTGTGTGTGTGTGTGTGTGTGTGTGTGTGCGTGTGTGTAGAATGACATAGATAGATAGATAGATAGATAGATAGATAGATATACTTCTGCGGAAAACTGGGTCTAAAATATCAACCAGGAGAACTTGTAAAGGGCCCATTTAATCTGAAAGCGTAGTAAATAGAATTAATAAAGGCAAACCTTTTAATTATATGAATAAAGTATTAAATCAGTTCAGCATTTTTACATTTATTTATGCTTATTACACATACTGTAACCCATTGTAAAATCCTCTTATAAGAATGACAGTCATAAATCAACCATTCCAACTGGTGTACAAAGCTTAATTTGAAGTTGTTTTCAACGTATAATTACCAGCGGAAGATCTGTGTATTTGTGTGTGTGTCTGTTTGTTTCAGTTGTGGCTATATTTCTAAAACTGTCAATATTCAATAATTTACAAAGCTCAGATCATCTCGAGAACAGTTTCGATTTTTTTTTTTTTTCAGGAGAAAAGGAATTTCCAGAGAAATGTCAGAATGTAAAATCTTTTTCATCGGTATTAAAGTTTCAAAGTAGCTCATTTGATAGCCTGGAGTGATATCGAGTTTTTACGACATTCAAACTCACTGAATGCGCTTTCACAATTGAATTGCGTGAATGACAACGTCAAAATATAGTTGTACGATAAGAACAAATTCGGGTACGCAGACGCGTGCAAAGACAACTTTAGTCGGATAGGAAAGAAGCAATGGAACTTCAAATTGAAATTATATCAGTTTTCGGACTCTTCTTATTCTAACATTCTGGTGATTGCAGACTCTTCATTCAGAGTTTTTTTTAAATACTGTCGAGGTTTATGGCGACATCCATTGCCCGATTCCTTATTCTATACGCGTCTCCCCCCAAAATAGCAAAATAATTGGGAGCCAGTGAAAAAATCCTCATCGGAAATAAGATCTTTAAATCATATATAAGATCAACTCTATGGAAAATGAAATCAACCGGTCAACTGAAAGTTTTGCAAAAAATAAAAACATTAAGAAACTTGACTTAAAAACCTTTTCCATCCTACTTTTTCCAATAAAAAGGCACACCCACAAAATATTTAACATACAGGGGGATTTCTGGCTTTGACAGCCCGAAAATTTGGTGCAATTCGCATACCCGACAACTCTCGCAGCAAATTTAGTAAAGAGAAAAGGTCTTATTCTCCAGCGTGACTATGCAAGGACACACGCTGCAAAACAAACTTTAGAAAAGTAAAATGTTTAGGATGGAAGGTTCAGCAACTTCCCCCGTCACCAAATTTAGCACCGGTAAATTTTTATTCCGAAACATAATTGAAAACATTTGTTACAGGTGATGAAAAATGGGTTTCGCATGTTAAAGTAAACGAAAAATAATGTGGTTATAGCAAAATGATAAACCAGTACTAACACCAAAACTAGATTTTCATTCACAAAAGACCTTGCTTTGTGTCTAATGGAATACGAAAAGTGTCGTCCATTACGAACTACAAGAACATGCGGAGACCATCATTGCCAGCAAGGTGAGCGAGTAAAGAAAGCACTCAGCCGAAAGTATCCTGATTTGGTATGACAATTCAAGGGAACACTCTGCAAAACAAACAGAAGAAAAATTTCTCAGTAATTGGTTAATTTTGTTTTATTATTATCTTATATATAATGTACAGTGTATGTATGTGTGTTTGTGAGTGTGTGTGTCCAAGCAACTCCTCTGCTCACACTGGTCCGATTTCAATGATTCGTAGCTTATTCAAAAGCCCTAGAAAAGTTAGTCACAGGGAACGATTTTCGTTGAGTTCAGATTCAGAGTTGCTAGATTATGCGAAGTTAAAAATATATATTAATATATTATATTAGCCATTATCGTTGCTTTCATGGTTCAAGAGGTGTAACTCTTATTCTCCTTTTGTATCCTGATTTGGTAAAGAGATCAGGTGTTCTTCTCCAGTATGACAATTCAAGGAAACCTTCTGCAAAACAGACACAAGAAAAAAATGAAATTTTGTTAGTTCGTCCACATCCAGATTTTTCATTTGTTTCGACATCCAGAACATTTTATAAGTGGCAGAACATTCAGAAACAAAAACTAAATTCAGGCAGCTATTCCCCAGGGCCGGCACCTCGCAGTATAATTTTCCTCAGTTGCCACTCCTTTAACGGAGTCGCCCGAGTACACTTTGCCCAAAGACAGAGACGCAACTGAGACATGATAAGCAAACGTGAAATTACTCAAAAAGAGTAATTTACACGGTATTTACTTAACCCCCCACTGAGTCAGGTTGTGACATAAGGTCGGTTTTTAACGTGGGAACCCGAGTGTTTTCACTCGAGTCGCTGGTCTTAGCTGGTCATATCTTGTCCAAGCTAGTCAGAGCTGGTCTAAGCTAGTCTTAAGTTGGTCATAGCTGTTCCAAGCTAGTCATAGCTGTGATACTACCAGCGGATCCCTGTGACCGGTAAGTGAGATTTACTTGACCCCCCACCCCCACTGAGTCAGGTTGTGACACAAGGTAAGTTTTTAACGTGGGGAACCGAGTGTTTTAACTCGGGCCGCTGGTCTAAACTGGTCATAGCCTGTCCAAGCTGGTCTAAGCTAGTCGTAGCCGTGATACTACCAGCACAGGGACGGAGCCCTAGGGCAGGTAAGTATCCGAATGTGTATGCCTCTCAAGAGAGGGATTTACATGGTATTTACTTGACCACCCCCCTACTGAGTCAGGTTGTGACTCAAGGTCAGTTTTTAACGCGGGGACCCGAGGGTTTTCTCTTGGGCTGCTGGTCTAAGCTAGTCTTAGCTGGTCATAGCTTGTCCAACCTGGTCAGAGCTGGTCTAAGCTAGTCATAGCTGGTCTTGGCTTGTCATAGCTGGTCCAAGCTTGTCAGAGCCGGTCCAAGCTAGTCGTAGTTGTGATACCATCAGCACAGGGACGGAGCCTTGGGGCAGGTTTTCCCTCGGGCCGCTGGTCTAAGCTGGTCTTAGCTGGTCATAGAAAATCGATACTCCTAGGAGCTGAAAATTTCAGAGCCACAGTTCAGTGCTTAAATGGAAACCACATGGAAGACTTCGAAACACTTGAACTGCAGGGAGACGGAGAACTTTAGAAATTGTCTACCACAGTGTATGGCAAATAGGTGCCCCCATTTGGAAGATGGGATTTTAAAGTCAAATGAATAAAAACTGTAGCCCTTAAACATGGAAATAAATTGTTTAATAGCAGTTTCCTGGGGTTTTTTTTTTCAGTCCTTAAAATGTCAAGTTGAAACACCGGTTCTCGTACGATCTAGTGTGTTCGGTACGTAGATGGGTGACCGCTTGTGAATACCAGAAGCGGTAAGCTTGTATGTGCGGGTGATGGATAACAGCTCAAAATTGGAAATCTAAGAGTCGTGTCCCAATTTCAGTCGGATTCTTTATATTCAATTACGTGCAAATACCCTTGGGAACGGTATGAATCCACTTCTTCTCCCCCAACTATAGGTTAATTAGTAGGTCTTATATCAGTAAATCGTTATTACCCCCAAAACAATTTTTTACAATTTAAGAAAATATTTTTTTAAAGAATCAGCAAAAGACTGATAAGACATAAGAAAGCAATCAATTATGAAGTTAATCTGAGCCATGCGTTTGCAAATATCGAAAGACCGCATTCAGCAGAATGCTGTCCATCTATCATAACAAGAAACAATAAATGAATTCCGATGATATCAAGAACGGAACTGACCTCAAATGTAAATTTCGCATCAGATTTGGGAAGAAGATTTGGCAAACGGAAGTAAGACATTAATAATAATAATAAAACAACTCAGGCTGTGGTGAATCAAAATTTCCAGAAATATGTTCAAGAACAGCATGTCTTTTTTTTTTGTTGTTTTTTTTTTATCGTTTCATCCCAAGTAAGGCGATAATACCACTAGAACGCGGGTGGAGATTTCAGTGAGTGGAAGAGAATGAGGAAACATCAGTGGGCTTGACTCAGTTCAAGAAGGCAGGAGATGGCGATTGACGTTGCATTTACATTTTTGAACATTTTAGTTATCAGGAAAGCATGAAATCGGAAGGAAGCTCCACAGATGGGAAGTGCCAGAAAATAAACCGCTAAAGTGGAAGTGGCACTTGCATCGAGCTAGTTGAACAGCAAAAAGATGAGACCAAGTTGCCGACTTGGTAGCACTCTTAAATGTTTATTCCACGAATAGGTTCCTGCAATATTCTGCAGACATTTCAGTTTCGTAGAATTTTTTTAAGGCAATTCACCGTAAGCAAGGCGGGAGTGCAACTCACGCGCAAGGTGGTTACAGAGGATTGAGAACAAGAGTAAAAAGGCGCGTTTGAGGAAAGGATATAGAGAAGGATGGGGAACAAGCTCAGGGTGACAGATTACCCTTGAATATTTGAAGATTATAGACATCGTGGAAGCAAGTAAGGGGAAGGGAGTTCCACAGACGGGAAGTGCGAGAGAATAAGCTGTTTGAGAAGAAGAGAGGGATACATTTAACCGTTTTCAGAGTGAAAGAA